TTATTCAATAATTTTTTTTAAATTGATTCCGAGTTTTTGGTTAACTATTAATTTTTAATCAAATTAGATTTTTATTCATTTAAATTTTTTTATATAATGATTTTTTTTTAAATCAAATTCAGATGCAAAAGTAAAAAATTTCTAGCGCCAAAAATGATGTCTAACAMACTTTGAAAGTTGTCTAACAATCTCTAACAACTCACTAACAAATTTGTTAGACCATTTTAAAAGCTGTCTGTTATCATTGCACTGCTAAGTTCACAAGGGTAACACGCTCGCCTCCATTATTTTCTCTATAACAACATGAATTGGTTCAACAATTTGTTGCAATTTAAGATTTTCAATATTCTTGTAAAGATCATATTTAATTTTTAATGACTGATATTTTTCGTACTAGTGTACTACGATACGCACTAGAAGAGGAAATATTTTGGAAATACGAAATTTTGTCTTCGAACCAGAGAATTCACCTTTTCTACAGTAAATTATTCAGATGATTCTTTTTCGGGCTTTAATTTTAAGTATCAAGATCAAAATTCGAATGAGTAGTTTCTATGTTATTTAACTGAGATGTTTACTAAGAATATTAACTATTAAGTCCCGATGATATTGGATTTGAAAGATGTTACATTTGAATATTTTAGTAATTAATATGAATCTATCAACATTTTATAATTTATAAAAATGGTACAAGTATGATAAATATATTAGATTCGAAATAAAATTAATTTTGTTTTTTTGTAAAAACTATTTTTAATGAATATTATCTTACAAACATTTTAATAATTGAGAAACTATATGTATACTAGTTATTTTCTATTTTGTTTTTTTCAAAAAAATTATCCATTAATAATTTGCAGTGAAATAAGCTGACACTTCTCATTTGAAAACCAGAAGTTTGTATCGCCAGAAGACACTCGCCTTAAATAGGTATTAAAAAATTTCATGTACTTGAAAATATGGTAAAATACGTTACGTGTTTATATTTAATAATTCCAAAAATCAGATTCTGAATTAATTCATTAGTATATGGAAAGGAGGTGGTGATGAGGATGCTTAGTGAATCACCCTGTATATAATTTTAGCCGGTATAATACATAATATATATAAATATACATGGACACGTCCCCAAAACTATATAATATATGAACAGTTTGAAACAATACTCGAGCCCGGCCAATGTGATTATATTAAAGTGTGTCCCCAACTTTGTTTTAACCTTGTTCAGAAGACATCCATTGCGGTGGTATAACATTACAAAATTATATATATATATATATTATGGCTACGATATCATAATAAACCTAAATCTATATCATACGCCTCGATCGTTCATCCCCGATACAATGCCTTTGAATTATAATTTATAATACATAATAATGTTCATTTTGAACGATGAACTGTGGTACAAGATAATAATCGAATTGTATTGTGTATAATTACAACTGTATACATATACAATCGTTTCTATGGTGTTACAGGATACCTCCGCTGCTTATTAAATTACATCGTGTTATCTATTCAATATTGTAGAACAATCGAATCTCAAGTAAAAATATCAAAATACTTTTCAAGTACTCGAATACATATTTTAAATATGCTCCTGTATTTAATACCTGTACTTAAAACCAAATGTTTGTATACCTTATACATAAATTAAGAATCAAATACTTTTTTATTTCATGTGCATTATTTATCAATTCAATTGTATTAAATTATTAAAACATATATATGTTTCATAAGTTGGGCATTTTACATACGACATATGTACGTACATATGTGTAAAATAATTTAAATTTGCTAGAAGCTTTGTTTTTAATTTTTTCTTAAACATCACTAGTTTCAAATGAAATTTTCAGAGGAACAGCAAATCTGTAGCCATTTAATTCCAAATTCAAATATGATATAGTAGAAGTATAGTATAACAAAAATATAGGATCCTATTCGAATACCATCGATTTTATGATAAAATTGAAATTAATATATCTATATYTTCATAGAGAAATTACTGCTTTCTAATAAATTGGTTTTATATTATAGGCACTTCCATTAGGTTTACGCCTGCAAGATTCCTAATTATAATTAACTGCACATTTAACCATTAAGCACATTCGATTTATTTATTTATATTTTTGTTGTATTGATTTCAGAGCCTGTTGAAACCGAACGCCTACATCGTCACGCAGGGACCAACCGAGAACACGGTCAACGATTTTTGGCGCATGATATGGCAAGAAAACGCGTGTTGCATCGTCATGTTGACCAAGACTTTCGACTTTATCAAGGTTCGAAACGTTTGTGTGCGTGTGTGTGTGTATAGTCGGTCCATCCGACGGCGCTTTCCGTTTATTTACGCGGCGGAAGTCTCACTCGTTTGTTCCTCACCCTAGGTTATGTGCATACAGTACTGGCCATCGGCCAAGGTGAATAGCGAAAACTACGGCGATCTCAATATATCAGTGTTGCACGAAGAAGAATTAGCCAATTTTCATATCAGGACCATACAAGTCGTTAAAAAACAAGGAACGGTGAGTGTAAATGACCCGATAACCGATTATGCGCTATAATGGGCGATAACACTACCTATTATATTATATTATACAAGTACYGACAAATATGTGATTTTAATTTAATTTCCTGTCCGGCTCGTTTGCCTGCGATTGTACGTTGACATCATATAATATTATAAATTTATAATTTATTATGTTATTTTAACCGAGTTTACATAATATATATATATATATATAATTACTACCCATCGACACAGTCGCGTCGTCATTTTATGTGTTATGTTATAATATAGGTTATACCTACCTACGCACATCTCCTGCTGCCGCGTGCGTTATTATAAAATACGAAAGCTACCGAATAAGCCAGACATTATGCGTACCTATAGGCTATAGTATATGAGGGTGTCGCGTTTCTATCATTAGTTCAAAGTATCTTGTTTTTAAAAATAGTAAATAAGAAACAAACGTTTGGTAGAACTCACCTAATACTAGTACCTACGTGACGTGTTCCGGTAATTTACGTTATCTGCCATATAATATTGACTCAACGGTACGAAATCGAAATGATGAGAAAATCAAATAAATATAAACCCGTCTACATAGTATATAACTGTACACTCAGTACAGTATAGTTGTAGAATGTAGATGTCGAGTGTACTTTGTCGATGAATTACCTAGTCACTATATTATGATGGATATTATATTGATAAATCGTTTATCATTGTGTTTGTGTACGATGAAAAACTATTCTGAGCATAACCACGTACGGTTACCAAAAAATGATTTTTATTAAAATATTAAATTTTTCAAATATTCGTATTACCCTCTTCCCGTTTATAGTAAAAAGTACATATTGAAAGTCTTCTACTTTTTACCTATTAAAATACAAACTAGATCCGATTTTCTACTAGAAAAAGTTAGCTGGAAGTTTCGAGAGCATTTTTTATCCTAGAGAATGTCTTCAGAAACAAAAATTAAAAATTAAAACACATATCATCATTTTTGATTGTGTACTGATTACATTCATCACACCATTTAGAATTTCATATACAGGGTGATTAACCAAGCGCGCTTATTCTGATTTTTAAATTTTTAAATAAACTTAAGACCAACTGTTAAGATTTTTTAGATTTTTTTATACTGCTTAAGGAGTGCTCTATTACAGTATAGCAATCTAAACTTTGGTTTTTCAAATGAGACTTCTATACTTCTAGACTTCTAGACTTCCATCACTCATATTTTTACCATAAAATATTTATTGGATAATTTTTTTTTTAATATCCCTATATTATGTTATAGTTTTATTATTTTACTATGTTATGTTTAAGAAAACTAAGCCTCTGTTTTAGACGTTATTGGCCTACGTTGAAATACGCATTCTCTGTTTAAACATAATATTGCAGCTGTCTATTACGAGAAAAATAAATAACATAACATTATTAATTGATATTGTTGTTGTTATAGCTTGTGAATTTCCGTATAGGGCTTCAGTGTTCTGCGAATCGTTAAGACGTTTTTCGAATATATGTAGGCTATTCGGTGAGTTTATTTCTGTTGTTTCGTGATTGAATTGCCGACATCGGACATTCTAATACCTAATAATGGTGTTTGACTACAACTTTGGTTTCACATCGATGATTTAAGGAAGCATGTAGTATGTACGTCATACTTTTCTGTCCAGTTAATTACCATGCCCTGCTGTTCTCACGCAGGTTAATCTTCAACGCCTATATATTACATATATTATTATATTTTATAATTTGTATCGTTATAGCACGAGTATAGTATTGATCCGTTTATCCGCGTGACGAACAAATTCTCTGAGTTTCACATCGTTCAGCAAGTTCTGTGCAGTTTCAGCATGTTTGCAGGCGTGTACTCGACTTTGAAAAAAAAATCTCTAGTTATTAATATTTTTTTATACGCGTTAACAACAATAACCAATAGGTGACTCGGCTGTTTTATTTGAAAGATAAATTTGGAAAGTCTAAATCTCTTGAGTTAAAAAAATATCGGTTTCATTATAATATCAACGGAGATGAATAAAATTATTCCTATGAATAAAGTTTTTATTTAAAACGTACTTATTAAAGACTTTATTGCAGAGGATATTATTCTATATTAGAATGTAGGCTTTGTTTAGAATTATAGATAAATCAAAATCAAGTCCATTCGTTTAAATTTATTATGTACCTAACTATACTAACTGATGATATTAAAGTCTTTAAAAAATAAATTGTGTCCTCGGACCACGGTATATACGATTTTCACCAAACACTGGGTTCAGTTTGATAAACTGTTGTTCACGAAAGCATATCATTCTTTTAAAATTCATTATTTCTCCCGTTTCATCGTTTTATGACCGTTTAATTACAGGTAATTATATTAAAAATAATGTAAGATAATCTTTATATTATAATATTATATATAAAACAAAGTGTCTTTATATGTCCGGAATAATCTCGGAAACTACTAAATGAATTTGAATAGGGTTAATTTTCAATTCAAACAGCAGCACATAACGAAGYATGATGTTATATGCATATTCTTATGGGTCGAAGTCTGGTTAGAAGCTAGGTAAAGTAATACATAAATAATTATTCGAAAGGTTTTATTATTTCTGTTCTCATTTATTACAATATAGATATCCCGGTTGAATGAATAACAACAAAAGATGTAGTCAAAAACATAATATGTAATATGCGCGTTTTATAATAGTAAAAATATATGCTTTTATATCTTCAGAAAGAAGAAGAAACCAGGACTCTACTTCAGTTCCATTACACAGAATGGCCATGCCACACTTGTCCGTTCTCAAACGCGATATTGGAGTTCAGGCGAAGAATGAGAGCCGTCGTTGGTTCCCGTCTGCAACACGACAACCCCATCGTAGTCCACTGCAAGTGAGTATAATACCTATATGAATTTAGCGACGCGGATACAATTGATCGCGTGCATGGTATCTAATGGTATACCCTACTGTATGGTATATTRTATGGTGATTGGTGACGTATGAGAGACGGTAAGTATACGCCATGCTAARGTTGTTCACTTATTCACTTATCTACGTTTGTTTTTCGAACTTACGATGATAATACGGTCGTTATGGTCTAGTATTAGAATTTTCAGTGACGTAAACAGAATATTTCATGATTATTTGAAAAATTTCCATTCTCCGATAGTACCGACARGCACTTATATTAGATATCAGGCGATTATAAAATTATATATTTTGAGAACCAATGATCAAACCAAAGTCAAAAATGCATAAACTTARTGTTATATTTATATACTCTGTTAAAAATAAGAACAGACCTCGATGGCGGCCAGATTTGGTATAACATGTACGATTTTCGTGATTTGTTATTCGAAAAAATTCAAAAGAAAGTAATAACAATGTASSTATATTCCGTAAAATATTCAAAAACTACTTTCTTAAGGAAMAGACTTTACACAGGCACTTGATTTGCACATAGTAATGTCTTTCTATCATTACTGACGCCTATATCAACGTTTAAAGGCGTATTTCTGCATTTTTTTTCAACATATCACGCCAATCATATATTATGATGAATGTTATGATATTAAACATAATATTATTTACTGATAATTTTACGGAGGACTTGTCTTTTTCACAGTGACGGCGGTGGTCGTTCTGGTGTCTACCTGTCGATCGACGCCAACCTGGAACTTGCCGAAGAAGAAGATTGTTACGACGTATTCGGTTATTTGAAAACACTCAGACAGTCCAGAAAAGGAATGGTCGAGACACTGGTAATCGTAATACATATCATACATATATTTTCATAATTTGTGCACGTAACAACAATTTCACCTCAACTTACCACATTTTGTTGGCGGGGGTTTGTTCAAACAAAAGCTCTACACATAATTGGTGATGATATTTATTTAAAAATTAAGTTTCAAAAATCGTCCAAAAATAATATGCTTGTGGTACGGTGTGAGCGATCGTATTACGCTTAACTGTAGAAACGCTCTGAGTGTACGTACCGATCGGTGTTATTAGCTCTCGGATGGGTGACCACTCGGGTTTTTAGCAACAAATCATCTTTGCCACACATAAATAACGAGGAACGTGTTCCAACCAACTGTCTCCCTCCATACAGCGTACCAGGCTAATGAGCGTAGTAGTTTTCTTAATTCCAAAAAAAAATAATATATTATGTTTGAAGTGGCACAAGGTTTGTGACTATTGGGGATTTTTTAACAGAGCGTCCGCAAAACAACGTGTAGCTTTTCTTTATATTATATACTAATCTAGTCACTAGTGAAAATAATAACTTAAAATATGTTGTTGTTTAATACTCGTACGTGTTTGAAAAACAGGACCAATACAAATTCATATACGACACGTTAGAGGAGTTCGTGCTTTGCGGGTTTTCATGGTTTCCCGTCAAAGAACTTTCGCAAAAACTGAAACAAAAGTCTATGAAGGAAATCGAGACCAAACTCAACGAATACCAGAGAGAGTACCAGGTATATATTAAGTGTTATTTTTTGCCCGTTATATTTGATTTCGTCAAAGCACAGACCGAAGTAGATTAATCCATAACAATTTAAATTTTTAAGTATATTATATAGTATATTATTATTATATTATATATTAAGTTAATTTGCATAGTATAATATTACGCACTATTTGAATATTTAGCATATTAAAATAGTGCGTAATATTATACTATGCAAATTAACTTAATATATAATAATAATATATAAGTATATTATATAGTATACCTTATAGGTATAATATGTTTCAAAATCGAGAACATTATTTGTGTGTGGGAAAAATATTAAATTGTAGTATTAGGTATTTGCTGATTTTTAACAGATAGAAATTTTTAAATGAAATATTATTTATTTTATCTTATCTTATTACGCATATACTCGGATAAGAAACGGTGTGATTCAAAGTTCAATTTTATCAGTTGGGCTATTTGTAATCGCGATCGCYGAAATGACACAACTAAATCAATATTTAGGATTGTCTATAACATGGGTGACCAACATGTTGACGTCCACGATCCACATGGATAAATACAATGATATCAAGAGCCAAAATGTTAAACATTTTATAATTTTTATAATTGTATTTTATCGGTAATAACTAATAAGTTATTATTGGTTTTATTTATTAAGACTTTGTAATAATGTACCTTATAACATCAAATTTGAAATTTAACATATCTCAAATTTACTATAATAAATTTGGACTAGATATCATCCACACGCAAAATACCTCTGTGTATATTGAAATTAGTGGGCATTTTTCAAACGCGCACACACATTATTAAAAACCAACTTAACTAAATTTCAAATAAAAAATATATATATTGCATAATATTATAATATTTTTGTTGTATTTGTTGCTTCCAGCAAATCTGCAAGATGACACCACGTTTTACGATTGGTGATTGTGCGGGTGGACATCGAGGCGACAATCGAGAAAAGAACAGAGACGTGTTGATMGTTCCGCGTTAGTATGATAATAATACATAATAATAAATCTCACTTCTATATAATTGTATCCCAGTTATCCCACCCCTCCAAAGTTATATACATTTACAACATGTCAACATATAATATTAGAAATACTCATAATTCATAATTACTTTTGSGTTATGTTGCTCACGTCGGTTTTTTCCTTTTAGCTGACAACTTCCGTCCSTATTTGATTTCGTTCCAAGGCAACACGTTTACCGACTACATAAACGCAGTTTTCGTCGACGTAAGTACCTATATAACACTATTATAATATCTATCGATGTACAATATCTGTGTATAATATGTGCTACATTCACTGATCGAATATTAGATGTACCAGTGATTCCCAATATGTGGTCCTCCGACCGCGGGTCAATATATTAGGGGGTCCCAGTAATTTGACCGGACGTCAAARCTGTATAATAAGTTCTTGACGCCAACAAAATACGCAGTTAAAAAAGTTTACAGACACATAAAGCCGAAAACTTACATGAACTTTACATTTCCAAAAAATGTCCCCCAGTCTAATTAAAGTTTTAGCTATAGTGGTCCGTGACTCAATATGCTAATTTGGAACCGTTGCAGTGTTATATATATATCATATATTGTGTGATACAATAAGTTTCTTATGCCGTAGTGCACTATAAAAGATAATAATATATTGTCACTTATTTTTTCATGCCACAGGGCTACACCAAGCCTAGAGAGTACATTGTCACTGAATGGCCCCTCAAACACACACCCGGCGATTTTTGGTCGCTCGTGTACGATTACGAGTGTTCGGCTGTGGTCGTCCTCTGCCTGCCGCCCAGAGACTCTGTATGTAGTTGATTCTCATATTATTATACAATTTAAAACRTTATTATACAACCTACTACATWATATACTACATTTTGCGTTTTTACAGCAACAATACCCTCCGTTTTGGCCGGAAGGTAGACATTCCAAGAAATACGGTCCGGTGTTCACCATCGATCATATATCTCACAATCACTACGCGAACATAAAGACATGGTTGTTTAGGATCAACAAAAAGGTGAGTCAATTTTTAGATCTGTATTTTCACTGCTGAAGTCTTCGTCACGCACTACTATTGTATCTATTCTGTGCTATACTATAACCTAATAATTACTACGATTACCACCAGCGTGTCATAACAATTATATACCATCGTCCGATATGTTTTCAGATCGTTTCACTCACCGAACTCATGGCTGGTGTAAAAGCACCGCCGAGGACCGTTCAATTGTTTCAGCTCACTTGCTGGCCGCTGGGCCACAGGGTGCCAACTTCCACCAACTCTCTGGTCGAACTCATGAACATGGTCGAGAGATGGAGACAGAGGATCGACTACGGACCCGTCGTGGTCGTATCGCAGTGAGTGTATTATAATATTTTCATACAATGAAGAGCTTATAATAATAAGAAAAAAAAAACGAAAACGAAAATATGATAAAAACCATCTCCATCGACTCTTTGACCGCGTACTCGAGGGTGGTTCTAGGGCTTAAATTCCGTACTGGTATTAACTATTATAGTATTATATATGTACATATTTATAAGTAAACCTAAAGCTCCCAATCCCGATTTTTTTCTTTGCCTTACTTTTACATATAAAATATATTAATGCTAAAAAAAATATAGATTTAGACGTACTTTATGTTGAGTATAATATTGTATAATTTTACAATATTTTATAATATATGAATATTGAATATATTAATAACTTTACTTTTATAATTATTCAAGTATTATATAAAAAAAGTCATTGTCTAATGCTTATATTATAATTAAGTGATAACCGGTATAAGTTTGAAAAAAAATATTTTAACAAGGTATAAAGTCTAATTAAATATTTTCATTCTTTCGACTAATTATTGTCCTTTGCTCATCAAAACGTGCCAACATTGAACTTTATAATGTGGAAACACCATTAATTAAATTTATTCTAACCAGTAATAYCATAGGTCTGTGGTAATTTTATAATTTAAATAACAAATAAATTATTTTACATTGAAATCTTCCTGTGAATCGTTTCAGCGATGGCAGAGGCAGGTGTGGCGTTTACTGCGCTGCGAACGCGTGTATCGAACAAGTGATCCAACACGGCGAAGTAGACGTCTTCCAAGCCGTGAAGACTGTCAGACGTCACCGACCGCAACTCATAGAGAATATGGTGAGTAATAACTACTGCAGAGGGCGCAAAAAAAAATATCACATCAATGTAAAACCAATACATACATATCGCTCGGCTCAGAATTCTAAAAATAAAGTTTTACTGAATTTTATACGCGTACGTAGTATTGTTACAGAARTTAATATTTTAAATTCTGTCTCGTCTGTATAAACGGTTATTTTTAGTAAATTATRCATAGTTCTGTTTCTGCTTAAAAGTATTGTGCGTGTTCGCCCACAGTATTTCAGAATCACTAAAAATGTTYTTGATTTTTATGACTTTCACTACCAGTTATTGTCATCGGTCTGGCCCTTTCCGACGAATAACGAACACCCGAGTGAACCATATTATACGATATCAGTTGTTTTGGTTATTCTATAACTCGACAAAACTTTTTACCATGAAATAGTTAGTTTATTGTTTATCTTGGTAGAATTTTCTCTTCATTACTTTTTTAATATTCAAACGTATGTTTCCAATTTTAAGAATTGATCAAATCTTTCATACTACTGTCTACTACATAGTCAGTTAAATACTACCTGACCCAACCTTAACCATCGTCAATTTAGTCCAATATTGTTCTGCAGAAAAAACAGTTTGTTCAACTGTTCAAGTACAATCATATGCACAATCAATACATTACTGCAATAATATTACATTGAAGTGTTGCATATAAAATATGTTTACTTGTAACTATTCATCAAGGCTTAAAGGATTCTAACAAATATAAGCTGATAAGTGATACTTGATACTATGCCCTATTAAGAGAAAACTAAATCAGGTCCTATTAATTAAAGGTTCGTATAGCATCTTCAGCATAATTTAATGTTAATCTTATTGACAGAATGGCGATGATAACATACAACTATAAATTCATTGAATTATTACTTATAAGTAAAGATTTAGTAACTGTTGCGCTTGTAAAAAATAGTTTATACAATTGTACAAGGCGAGTGGACAAAAAGTCGATTTAGACACTTTTACTGGTGAGCAAATAATATTATTAAGTATAATATGGAGACTTTCAAGAAGCACATACCCATAATGTATTCAATTCAAATGTTGTTTGTCTGAGTTTTTTTTAATTTGCATTCCTATATTCACTCGCCGAAATATATAAGTTTGCCAATAGTGTTACCAATATTTTTCTGTAGTGCTGCTGCCCATCTTATAATGTGCAATACCTATATATTTGTAAATATAAATAAATGGGTTAATCGTTTGCTGTTGTGATTTCAGACTGAGTACAAATACTGTTACGACCTGGTGTTGCACTACGTGCTGCACTACCTGAACAAGGACCAAAAGGAGAAGAAATGAGATTACGAGGTTGAAGCTCAGTGGTACTGTMAGTTCGGTAGAGGCGCGGCACAACCACTGACGCCCGACCAACCGGGCGACGACGCGGCGTCGTCCAGGGGCGAAGGTTGGGGCGCGTCCGGGTCCGGCGACGGGCACGGCGCTGCTCCTTCACCCATACCGTACCCGGGACGGTACGTGGTCGTCAAGCAGTTCGCTRTCGACCGGCSGGACGCGCATCCGCTGCCCGACACGGCGCCGCTGCATTATTACAACCCGTACTACCTGAGGCTGGACCTGAAGACTCACAGCACGCGACTGTTGCACAACTCCATTCAGCAGACCAGCGTGGACGCGACGCCCGAACACCACGCGGCCGTCGTTTCCGGTCTGACGGCGGCCGGCGTGCTGCTTCCCGAACCGGAACCGGTGGCGTCCGCGCCCGCAGTACCGTCGTTGTTTCAGCGCAGTGATCATCGTAGCTGTTCAATCGCGTCAGCCGGCAAGAAGACCGTCGCGTTTGCCGACACCGTGGACGTCTGCGGCGGCGGCGACGACGACGACAATATCGTGGACATCAACTACCGGCTGATCGCGGAAGTGTCGGCGGAAACGGCAGCCGCGGTCCGAACACAGGGCCCGACGCCGGTCGTCCACCACAGGTCTGCCAACGTGTTGCAAGTGCACTCGCAGACGGGTGAAATAGTCGGCGATGTGCTCATCGAGCGGAAGCGTGATCCACCACCGTCACTGTCGCCGCTGTCCACCGCGACAAGCACGGCCACCCCGTCGCCGGTCGACGACGATCTGTCGACCTCTTCGGCTGGTGGCAGTAGCCGTCGCAAGCGACACGAGATGTTCTGCCGCCGGCGCCAGTCGCCCGTGTACAGTTGCGACGACGGCGACGGCGAGACGGCCTTCATAGCTGGCTCACCGACCGCCGACAGCGCATCGTCGTCTTCGGTGTACGAGAGCTGCGACGACGACCTATCCGCCGTCGTGGTGCTGGGCGCCGAGCTTGGCAGGCCACCGTTGCGCCGGTCCGCAGCGGCCGTGAAAGGTTACGCCAGCTGCTGTCCGTCGTGATCTGCGTGTGTTAGGTAACCGCAGCCGATTTTACACATCTATTTTATCACCGCCTCTCGCACTCTAACACTCACCCACTAACTCTCTCTTTCTCTCTCACACACACACACTAACGAGCTACATCATCTGTCCTGTACCGTCAAGTCCAAAAGTAGTCACATACTCCTTTCCGTTCTCACGGGGCCTCTTTACAAGTGACCTCCTCATTCCCTCCAGAGCGGGTGCCTACTTCGAATAATGGGTAATCCGACAGTGGTCACATCATGTGTGCCTGTGAATTCGCTTCTACCGTGACAGAAGACGTAGGCGCAGTGATGATACCGCCTTTAACGATGTCACTCTTTCTCGCCACTCATAAAACAGGGTACATAATAAAACAAGGTATATATACTCTTCCTCATATTATAATATTATTATTMTGCCGTTTACAGTTAGGTAAATAATTATGCCTTCGTCGCGTGAGGCGGTGTTGTATTATTGTAAAATACATAATACACATAATAGGCGTGTTATTACAATATATTATACCGCGGTTACGGTTACCACCACCTTGCTCACCCACTCACCCGGACAGCACTATATTATTATAATTATTGTAGATCCATCGTTTATCGACTGGACACTATAATATATAACAGCACCACTGACTATATATAATGAAAATGAAATAACGTAAGAGAGATAATATGTTTAGATAATATTATGTAAGTATATACTTACTCAAACCATCGCGTGTATAATATAATATACTGTATACGTAAATATAGAAAATAGAGATCGTAGGTACTTTTATCCACTAAGAAATTTCACTGTATATATAGTATATTTAAGTGTATGTATCTATATTATATAATATTATAACATTATACTGTTATTATTATATGTTACGTTATTGTATAATGTATATAATATATTTATAAAAGATACGCATTGTATTTAAAACGCGTGTCACACGGTGTTCAATTCAAATAATCGGGGTAATTTTTGACGTTGAATTATATAATAATATTGTATTAAGATTAAAAATACAGGGTGCGCGTGTTATATTATGCATTGTTATTAATATTATTATCATCATCATTGTTATAATTATATATATTATTGTGTATAGTTTGAGTGACGGTGTTAAAAAAATATATATATATTGTAGAAAGGGTTTGCCGAAACGCATATTTAATATATTATATATAGCCATATAGCATATAGTAATAGTTTATAGATTTATAATATACTATAGTTATACGTATTATAGATAGACATATATATTATTATGGGTAAGGCGTCCTCGAAACGAAATTGTAATATGCATTACATATATTTTGTAATAAGATGCAATTACTTCCGTCTTGGTTGGAAATTCAGAAAAAAATGTGACAATATGTATTGAAAAAACAAAGTTGTAAAATTGAGTTAAGACTTTCTTTGTTGAAGCAGTCGATATTAAAGTAGAATTACGCTCCTATAGATATTATTCCATGTTATATATACGCAGCCGCGTCTATATTATGATATTAAAATAAAAAGTGCATTACGCAGTACTCGCGCCATTTTGTTTTTGATGGTATATTATTAATTTTTGGAGTGAGCAAAACAACGTAATCAGTAACCACAACATTRCTCATAGAAACCGCGGATATCAGCAGCTATCATAGGTAGGTATATATCAGCTGTTGCACACGATGTTTTACTCTTTTTCAAATTCTGGACTTTGCACGTGTCGAATTCGCAGTCTTTTACGAAAATCGTGCATTGTGGTCTATGAAAATGATAATTGAAAATCGGTTTGGGATGTCATAGAAATTACAATATTATAATGTTAAAGGCGTGGGCACGTCGAAAGAACCGTGCAAATCTATTCATCGATAGTGTAACACGTGATTTAATATTGGGAATGTTGAAAAGCTTTCTGAACATTTTTAAATATTTTTAACACGCGTATTCCCTTGCAGCAGCGTACTATCCAAAACTTAATCGCCGACTGCAGACTTTCCCGCAAAACCCATTTTTGGCATGCCCATCGTTTATAATAATTGCTTTTCCGAGACGAGTGCTACAAAGTTAGGTGTATATATATAGAAAATAAAATTCAAACAATCCTTTCGGCAAACCCTGCAATCGCGCGTCGGTTAATTTGTACAACTTTTGTTCCTTTTAATTAGTTTTAATTCACTTTTATACTAATAATATTATATATTTTTAAATTATTTAATTCTGTAATCAAAATATTGTACTGGACCAGTTATATTATAACGATTTTACACTAGTTATATTATATATGATTCGTATTTGTATATGTGTGCATTGCTCTACAGCCTCTGAAGTTGCAAACTATTTTCTTAGCAACTCAATAAATATACATATTATAAATACTTATCATCGAAATTGTGCACCGTTTGTTCAACTATTTTCTACCAATAATAGGTGTCCGACCTCAATACAATGCGTGCTGGGCTGCAAGTTGATTTTCTTTTTTAACTCAGTCAAGTTGAAGGTTATTATAAGCATCTATAAGAAAAGGTTAAAAATTATATTTTAATTTTAATTTATCCGTTTAAGTTAAAAGTCAATACACATTTTTTTAAATTTTATAAAATTTAAAAAGATTAATTTTTAGCGTACTTTATTTTTATTAAACCAAAACTAAATTATAGACTATTAAAGTGTTTAAACAGTATTACCAATGCACTTGATATTTGACTTTGGCTAACCTCAAATTGGTAAAAAAGATATAATTATAAATTTTCCAAATTGGAAAATAAAAAAAGTGGGTGATTTAATTTAGTTAACTTCCCATTAGGCTTATAGTTACCTATGTTTCGCCTCTGTCTATTTTCGTATTTGACACAGACTAAAAATTAAGATACTCTTCATGTTACAGTGTACCTATAACATATTATTTACATTATAAGGTATTTATTAATTTCCATTAATTTGTAATAAACTATGAGATACCGTCACAGTAGAAGCAAATCAACTGCAAAAACATGTTTTTTTATTTCCAATAATACTCAGATCTTGTTGATCGTAGAAACATGATTTTAGCATAAAAATACGAGTACCTAATCACTAGAAGTTGTGCTGAAAAATCTCAGAACAGTTTTTTGATTTATATTTATCAATCAATTTTATTTGCATTTGAAATTTGTAATAAATATTCGTTTTTTCAAAAAGGTTAGAACCTAATACATTTCCACTGGATTTTTATTACAATTTATATTTTTTTTAATTATTTATTTATGTTGAAATTGATGAACTCAAAAATAAAACTTGTCGCTGCCCATCAATAAAATTATCAATTAAAAATCACTGAGTGAGTGATGTTATTCTATGAATTCGTGACAAAATTTAGAAGTTTAGAACAGGTAATACCTACCTATAAATTATTTTTACAATCAACTAAAATTKTGTTTACAAAATCCTAATCCAGATATCTTAGAACCTGATGTGGAATCATTTTACTTAATAGGTGCTGCCTGCTGACGATCATCTCAGTCGAGTCGGGTCTTCCACTCAAAGCAGACGTACGTTACGATCGGTAGCTCTGGTCGCAGCAARTCTTATCATGTTTAGCTTGCAGGTGCACATCCAGCCACCAACCAYAGGYGATCTCGTGCGTAAACCACGCTCAGTGGCCAATCATGAGAGACCCCGTGCACGTAGGCGCATCTTACCATGCTCTGTGAGCTTGGCAACCACAGTCAGACCATCTTAGCAATCAGTGTCAGGACAAGACTYCAACTGGAACAACGTGCCCAGGCCAGGACAGAATTCCGGATTGGAACTTCATGCCAAACCTGATCAACAATCAACTATCAAGCATGAAGCAGGAGAGAACAACCMGACCACCAGTCACCCGGTAACGCAATGTCCCACCTCAACTCCAGTTCAAATATGGACATGCATCAGACCCACCGGAATCTGACCTCACATGTCGGACAGTCCGTTCTAAGCCCGGCAGACGCCTTCGCTCTCCAAACTCCAATGCTCCGTACAGGTGTGGATCAACAAGCTTAAGTCCTTGGAACTTCCACTGGTCAACGCGAGCAACTGGAGTGCCAATCTCAGATTTAAGCTGGACAAGGCCAATTCCACGCTGAAAGYGGCAGCCTTCGACGCCATGAAACTCATTGATAATACCTCGGACAGTATCTCTCTGGATCATTTAAGTTAGGTTAGCTAATTTCTGAGTATTGTCGTGCAAGCAGCTTCTATTCTATGCCTAAGAAGAAAATCCTCATGACGCTGAACGTCAAGAACGCTTCAATTTCCTCAGGTTGTAAGATTCGTGCAAGTTTTTACTAGGCCTGAAAACCACCCACAAGTTAAGGGGAACACTTAACTAGTGGCCTATACACGCCGTAGGTCACACGTATTTTACACGCGTGGAAGCCCTAAAGCTAGRACGGTGGAACTTGTATGTTTTAATATACACCAGAAGTATTCTAAAATTTTTTATCTCACTGCTCCTTCGGTTGTTCAATATTTTTTCAACAATATTTTTTCACAGCTCCCAAATTTTATGGAAAAGTTGAAACAACACACGGATACAAAATAGCCAATATGTTAAATGGGTGATAATAACAGTACCTAATTATTACAATAACTACCTATTACATTTTCCTAAACAAATAATACAATTTATTCTAAATCATGAAATGTAGCCAGACTATTCTTTAATCTTTGCTGTAATATGCAGAATGCATTTTTTCTTACCAATTCTGTAATAAGTTGTCTAGATTATTTACCCCATTTAAGCTGCATAAAGCGATAAAGCCAAAAAATATTTGTAAGAACATAAAAATCCAACCACTACTTATGAGGAACCACGATTTACATAGGTACCTTTAAATCTAAAGTATAGAAAAAAAAAACAATTTTATGAATTAAAAAATAATATTAATTTTATAAATAAAACAATATATTATGTATATAGGTACAGTGTCCTGCGAGGAAGTCAGTATTCATGGATATATGTATTTATGGATATGTATTATGTACCCATTATGATATCTCACGAAATAATGGAGGTATCAAAATTTTGGTTTT